AATGACATGATACTCTATATAGAAGATCCCAAAAGCTCCACCAAAAGACTTCTAGACTTAATAACCAACTTCAGTAGCACAGCTGGGTACAAAGTCAACACTCAAAAATCAATAGAATTCTTGTACAGGAATAACACACTGAGTGAGAAATTAGGGAAACAACACCTTTAGCAACAGCATCCAAAAACTGAAATGCCTAAGAAACAATCTATGGAGGAAATAAAAGACTTTTACATGGAAAACTACAGCACTCTGAAAAAAGAGATGGAAAGGGATATCAGAAAATGGAAAGACATCCCTTGTTCTTGGGTAGGAAGATCCAATATAGTAAAAATAGCCATACTTCCAAAATTGTTATACCAATGTAATGCAATCCTGATCCAAATTCCAACCGCTTATCTCCCAAAATTAGAAAAAACAGTCCTAAAATTCATTTGGAACCAGAATAGCAAAGGCAATTCTCAGCAATGAAGGCAAAGCAGGGGCATCAAAATTCCTGATTTGAAATTAGACTACAAAGCTACTGTGATTAAGAAAAAAAAAATCACAGTACTGGCAAAAAAAAAACAAAAAACAAAAAACAAAAAAACAGACCTGACCCTGACTATTCAGGTGAATCAAAAAAACAAAACAAACAACAACAGCAACAACAAAATACCACAGACCCAAGGATCAATGAAACAGACTGGAAGATGCAAAAACAATTCCAGACATAGTCAGCCACCTTATATTTGACAAAGGACCCAAACACCTTCACTGGAAGAAAGCCTGTTTAATAAACAGCGTTGGAAAAATTGGCTTTCCACTTGCTGAAGATTAAAACTAGACCTGTATCTTTCACTATTCACTAAACTAAAATCCATACCCATATCTTTCAACACTCACCAAACTAAAATCAAAATGGGTCAAAGATCTAAATATTACAACAGAAACAATCTGCTGCAAGATAAAACGGGTAGAACCCTCAAAGACATTGGTGTAAACAAAGACTTTATGAACAAAACCTCAGTCACACAGGACCTATAACACAGAATCAACAACTGGGATCTGATTTTATTGAAAAGCTTTTGCACAGCAAGAAAAACCACCAAAAGAGTGAAAAGACAACCCACAGGGTGGAAAAAAAATTTTGCCAGCTGTTTCTCAAATGATGACTAGACTATATAAAGAACTGAAAAAAAAAAAAGACCCCCCCATATTTAAAGAATCAGTCCAAAAATGGACATGTGAAATAAAGAGACACTTCTCACATGAAGTAGAAGCAGCAAATAAATATACAAAAAAAATGTTCAATATCAGGGGTCATTCGAGAGATGCAAATTAAAACAATGCTGAGATTCTAACTCACTCCAGAAAGAATAGCTGCTATCAAGAAATCAACCAATAACAAATGTTGTCAGCATTGTGGGGAGAAAGAAACCCTTCTCCCCTGTTGGTGGGAGCGTAGACTAACCACTGTGGAGATTCCTCAACAAACTAAAAGTGGAGGTTCCATTTGACCCAGGTATTCTCCTTCCTGGTATCTTCCTGAAAGAAATAAAAGTGTCATACTACAGAGATATATGCACACCTATGTTTATAGCCGCACAAGTTGGAATGCCTAAATCTTGGAAACAGCCCAAATTTCCATCAGCTGATAAATGGATAAAGATGCTTTTTTTTCTGCAATGGAGTACTACTTTGCCATAAAGAAGGGCATGCTTGAAACATTTATAGCTAAATGGATGCATCTGGAAACCATACTCTTAAATGAAATCAATTGAACACATAGTTTAAAAAAAAAAGGACCACATTGTTTCTCTGGTGTGACAAACTGAAAGTGGAAATAAGGCCTAAAATGTAGACACTGGGAAATGGGAAGAAAATGTTCAAATGAGAATGGAAACAAGGGAGGAATGGGTAAGGAAAGAAGGGACCAAAAAAAGAGAAAATGCAAAGGAAAACATGGAAATGAAGCTTTTGTATATGGGGGGTGGGGGAAAAAAAGAGAATACTGCGTACAAATTCCTTATAGTGATTTATTAATGTATATTTAAAATGCATCAACAAATATTTTGCTAAATAAAACAAACAAAAAGTCTTCACAACTATGTTTTACAAATCCTTTCTCAGGAAGCTACTCAAGAATGTGCAACCAGAAACACACACAGAACTTCCCGGCCACACTAAGCCAGAGCTGCCTACCTTTCTACTGCTCTTCCTCAGCTGGGCAGTGATGGTAGGGAAGACTTCGAGCCCCAAAGCTGACGGGGCCCACACACAGGCACTGCTGGCAGCTAAAATCGGTATGGCTTGGGGACTGCAGCATGTGCTGAGGACCAACTTGGGGCCTAAAGGCACCATGAAGGTGTTCATTTCTAGCACTGGACACATCAAGCATACTAAAGATGGCAGTGTGCCACTTCACGAAATGCAAATTCAACATTTAATAGCAAAAGTAGCAGCAGCTCCAGATGATACAACTGGTCGTGGTACTACTTCCAATGTCCTTAACATCGGAGAGCTGCTGAAACAGGCAGATCTCTGAGGATCTTTATGCCAGAATTACTGAAGGTCTAGAAGCTGCACAGGAAAAGGCTCTGCAGTTTTGGGAACAAGTCAAAGTAAGGAGAGAGATGAACAGGGAAACACAGATGAAGCCAGAACATTTCTATGTACTAAAGTTCATGCTGAACTTGCAGATTTCCTAACAGAGGCTGTAGTAGATTCCATTTTGGCCATTAGAAAAAAAAAAAAGATGAACCTATTGACCTGTTCTCGGTTAAAATCATGCAAATGAAACATAAATCTGAAATTGATACAAGCTTAATCACAGGGCTTGTTTTGGACCATGGTGCCCAGAAATGCAAAATGTGTGCATCGTCATGTGCAATTTCTCCTTGGAATATGAGAAAACAGAAGTAAATTCTGGCTTTTTCTACAAGAGTGCAGAAGACAGAGGAAAAACTAGTAAGATCTGAAGGAAAATTAAATGAAGATAGAGTTTTTAAAAAATGGTAGAACTTGGGCCAGGGATTTAGCTCAGTGGTACCATGCCTGCATTGCAAGCACAAGGTTCTGCCTTGCAAAACAAGGTCCTGAGTTTCATCCCCAATACCAGGAAAAAAAAAAGGCAATGGTGATTCAAATAGAGGATTTGTTATTACTAATCAAAAATGAATTGATTATTTTCCTTGGATACTCTTGCAAAAGAAGGCACAGTAGCTCTGCAAAGGGCTACAAGGAGAAATATGGAGAGGCTGACTCTTGCTTGTGGTGGGGTGGCTCTAAATTCCTTTAATGACCTAAATTCTGACTTTCTGGGACATGCAGGACCAGTTTATGAGTATGCTTTGGGAGAAGTACTGAGAAATGTAACGATCCTCACTGTCACATGACTGGTCAAAGGACCATGTGAGCACCCCCTCACTCAAATCAAGGATGCAATGAGAGATGGCTTGAGGGCTGTCAAAAACACTATCGACAATGTCTTACTGGTTACCGGTGCTGGTGCGGTAGAAAGGGCGATGGAACAAGCGCTGATTAAACACAAGGAGAGAGTCAAAGGCCAGGCCCAGCTCGGAGTCCACATGTTTGGTCAGTTGCTCATTATTCCCGAGGTCCTTGCTCAGAACTCCAGCTTTGACCTTCAGGAAACAGATAAAATTCAAGTAGAGCATACAGAGTCAGGTGAATTTGTGGGTGTGGCCCATGAGCACAGGTGAGCCAGGCGTAGCTGCAGAAGTAGGCATGTGGGATAACTGTTGTGAAGAAACAGCTGCTTCGTCACTCCGACTGCCACAAATATACTCTTGGTCAACAAGATCCTGCGGGGTGGAATGTCCTCTCTGAAAAGCTGAACGGAAGCCTCCCTGGTATCACCTGAATCCTGAAGATTACAGGATGATCCTGAGGAACAGAGTTGTGGAATTTTTGTCCAAGCCTCAAATGATTTTCAAAGGAATTTTCTTTTTCCACATGAATAAAAGGAGAGAACCCTTGGCATCTATTCAAATTTTGATGCTGTGGAATTCTAATTACAGTACTTTTTAGTTGCACCGAAAGTATGCACAAAAAGCAGGTCCTCTTTACCCAGAAAACAAGTGGTTTTCTTTTAACTGTATCAACATAAAGTTATATGTTCTACCTTGTTTATTAAATATTCCTTGGGGGAAAAAAAAAACAAGGCAGGGGATTAGCTCAGTGGCACTGCGCCTGCCTTGCAAGCACAAGGTCCTGAATTCAATCCCAAGTACTGCAAAAACAAACAAAAAAGAATGTGCAACCAAAACTGGAAAGCACTGAAAGTGAGAAAAATTAAGTTGAGGTTAAAGGAGACACAACACAGGAGAGACAAAGGAAAATTTGAGACAACTGTGCAGGGAGACCAGAAATACAACACAAGTCCACAGTGGAGCAAAATGACTAAAGAGAATGTCAAGGGCTTTTGAAACTGTACTACTTTTTTGTGGTTGTTTTAAACTTGAGTGTGCCAAATGCTCCTGGTCCACCTTGTTCTCTGTTCTGGCTCTGTTCTCCATGCCAAGAATCCAAAAGGAGATGAGGAGACTTATTTTTCCCAAAAGCCAGATACGCAAATTAACTTAAAAGCAGAAAACACAGAGCAACAGAGCACCCCTTACAACATTCTTACTGACCACACAGTCCCTTCACAAAATATTATCGTGCAGAAGGCCCAGTCTTCCTAAAACTCATTCAGGTCCTTTCCCAGTGAGCCCCAAGTACTCGGCAAAGTGTCAGGAAAGCTGAAGCCAGAGACATTCAGTTAATCTTTCCAGCACTGTTTCTTAGCAGTGGAAATGCTGCCCCTTCTTTCTCTGGTGAGGTGTGTGCTGCTACCTATTTTTCAACTGTAAATAATATACAGTTATTTGTAAATAACTGTGAAGATAATACAAAAGTCAGGGTTCCACCTTATACCCATTAGAATAGCTGACGAGCATGAGAAAAAACTAGAACCTGAGCGACCTCCGGTGAGGAAGTAAAATGGTACAGCCACTATGGAATACGACAACTTCACAAAAAATCAAAAACAGAATTATTGTAAGATCCAAAAACTCTGCTTCAGGCGTTTACCAAAAGAACTAGAAGGCAAGTCTCAAAGAAATATTTGCCATTCATGTTCATTGCAACATTATTCACAAGAGCCAAGAGGTATAATATAAGCAACACAAATGTTCATTAACAGACTGATAAACAAAATGTGACACATAGACTATGATTCCATATTAAAAAGGTGAAGCTGGGCGCAGGGGCACACACCTGTAATCCCAGCCAGTTGGGAGCCTGAGGCAGAAGAATCACAAGTTCAAAGCCAGCCTGGGCAACTTAGCAAGACCATGTCTCTGAATGAATGAATAAATGAATGGCCTGGGGAGGCAGCTCAGTACTGCATGGTTCACAAAAGCAACACAAAGAATAACATAAAAAGTTAAGAAATTATGACATATGCTGCAACGTGGAAGGACCTTGAGGACTTTACGCTAAGTGAAATACCTCAGTCATACAAAGTTAAATACTGAATGATCCCACTTTGATGAGGTATCTAGAGCACATTCATGGAGACAGAAGACCGGAAGATGTCAGGGGAGTGGGAGAAGGGTAAGGGAGAGTTCTTTTTTTTTTTTTTTTTTTTTTTTTGGTACCGGGGATCAAACTCTGGTCCTTGCGCTTGCAAGGCAGACAGCAGAACCACTGAGCTAAATCCCTGGCCCGAGAGTTCTTAATGAATTTCACTTTTGCAAAGATTAAGAGTTGTGGCAATCGATTGCATAATGGTGTGAATGTAGTTAACCCCACTGAAATATACATTTCAAAACGGTTAAGACGGTAATGGCTATGTATATTTTACCACATTTTTTCAAAAGTAAAAACAAGAGGAGGAGTGGAAATGGTTACCTCTAGAAAGAAATCTGACACCATAATGGCTAACATGTTTTATCTGACCACTTGCCTGGGCAAAGGGGTGCCCAAGTATTTGGTCGAACTTATTCTGGGTGCTGCTGTGAGGGTGTTTTGAACATTTACATTTACAGCAGTGGACTTTGAGTAAAGTCGTTTACCCTCCATAATGTGGGTGGGCCTCATCTAATCAGATGAAGGCCTGAGTAAATAAAGGCCGGCCTGCGTCAGCAGACTGCCTTCAGACTGCACCTGCAACATCAGCCCTTTGCTCAAGCTGGACTGCTAGCACCCATAGGTCTCTATCTATGCTGCTGGTCCACCATACACATCTGAAACCTACCAGCTTCCATATTTATATGAGCCAGTTCTTTATAATAAGAATCTTTACTTACACACACACACACATACACATTGTGTGTTTCTCTGGGAAACCCTAATACAGGCACAATAGGGGGAAAATACAGTAGAAAGCTATTTCTACTTCTTATCCTGAGTGACAGGTACTCGAGTATTCTTTGATTTATATTTATGTTTTAGGTTTTTTAATGTGATTCTTTTCCCAACTAAAAACTTTAAAAATCTAAGATTGCAATAAGATCCATTTATTCACCACAATTCACATCTTATTAAAACTCTTCAAGATTTTCAATAAAATAAATAACCTGGACCTGATAAACAAATCTGCAGCCAGAGACTGTCAAAGTTTGGCAGATTTATGTGGATCATGGATGATGGATCCACAATGGGTCATCAGGAAAAATTAAGAGCTTTTGCAATGACATTATGAATGATAATAATCCCTCATGCTGCCCAGAGACAGGCCATCCAACGAGATAAATCGTGGCGTCATTTCAGAGCATGTATTTTTTTACCCTTATTTATCCTAGTCCTCTAATTTTAGGGTAAGTTCTAACTACTGAAAAACATTTATAAAGACCAGAACCATCATCACTTTTTCAACCTGTAGAAGGCCTATGATGGAGTAAGCACATAAAACTGGAGTGGGGGGGTGATTGTATAAGAAACATGATAGACCCCTTCAACACGTTAAAGTGCTTACCCAGCCTGGGTAAGTTTTAGCACCTCTCAATAAAACATCCTGAAGCCTTTAAAATCAAACTTGTATTTCAAAAGAAACATTATTTTTTTATTATAACTAGGAAAAAAGTGGAGTTGTCCAATAATATATAGTATGTATACATGCTACAAATTAGGATCAAAATGGATGCTACAGAAAGCAAAACAATTGTAGATTAGGCTAATTTCATGGCTATCTTTTGATATAAATCATTCCTAAGTACATATTTGAATTTGAATGTGTCGATTTCCAGTTACATGCACATAAATTCAAGTTTTTGTTTGGCTGGTTTCTTGAAAGAGAGTCTTATTATGTAGCTCAGTATATGTGGCCCAGGCCTTAAACTCACAATACCCCTGCTTCCCAAGTGCTGAGATTACAGGTTGTATAGCACACCTTGCAGCGAAATTTAAATATTTGGCCATCTGTGTGTGGCAAAATACAGAAAGCAACTTCAGAAGTTGTTAGACAAAACACATGACAAAAATATTTATCTTCTATGAAAACTTTAAAAATTCATTCTTAGAATATTACAAATATGCTTATTGCAGAGTCTGGATATTGTTTTTATTTAGTTACTTATTTTTTTGAGACAGGATCTGACCTTGAAGTGAAGGCTGGCCTTGAATTCACTACGTAGCAGAAGAGCCTGGCCTCAAAACTCAGTGATCCTCCTACCTCAGCTTCGTGAGTGCTGGGATTACAGGTGTGCGCCACCATGCCCGGCTTGGAAATTGTTTTTAAAGTTAGAAAAACCACTAGTAATCTTATTCTTGAAACTCCTAACGTGTTTTATGACTGAAAGGATATAATGATAGTAACAAGTACAGCACCCTGCCCTCAAAATGTGCTAAGGCATTTGATAAATCCAGAGCTACATTTGCAAATACTCTGTTCTAGTCATTTCCACAACAGATCTGTGGAAAAGCAGATATTCCTTTCACTTGACCATGAAAAGGAGTGAAGATCAGAAAGGTAATTTATTGCTATAGTTTGATTACTGAATGAATCCTGAGAGCGAGGGTAGTACCACTCAGACGTGATAGGAAAGATTCGTAGGTCAATGAGGATTTGCCCTTAAAGGGGATCGGGACCACCCATCTCCTCCCATCCTTGCTCTTCTGTCTCGTGTAAGCCACAACCTGTCTCCTGGTCTGCTCACCTCACCAGAAGCCCAAAGCAGTGGAGCCACTTGATCTCTCACAGCCAACTCCAGAATATTAAGCCAAAACATAATTCTTCTCTTCCAAAGTAAACCACATCAAGTATTTTGTTATAGTAACACAAAGATAACACATTTCCTACTAGTACCTAGGGAAATCATTATGAAAACCAGATTTTGTTTCTTTTCACTATACATTAGTTTGCCTTCAAGTAAAAAATACAAAAGCAAAAAACTTTAAGTAAAAAAAAAAAAAGCCTTGACTAGAGATTACACTAACATTAAAACCTACTGCCATACTGGTTTTTATTTGTGGCTTTTTGATATAGGCTCTCACTATGCAGTCCAGGCTGGCCATCTCAAGCTGCTTCTCTATTTTGGAAAGATCTTTACCAATTTTTACATCTGGGGCCTACAGCACTTAGATATAAACTTGTAAGTGGATACATGGTATAATATCTCATAGGGCCGGGGATTTAGCTCAGCAGTTCGGTGGCCTGCCTTGCAAGCGCAAGGACCCAACTTCAATAATAAAAAAATAAAATCACATAAACTTGAATGTTTTACACACTGAACTCATTAAAAGCACACCCTAAAGATTATACACAACTGCTTGGGGGTTAGCTCAGTGGCACAGTGCCTACCTGGCAAGCCTGAGATCCTGAATTCGATACCCTGTACAGGAAAAAAAAAAAAAAAAAAAAAAAAGAGATTATATACAACTTATAGCATACCAGAAATATACTGTTTTATATAAACTGTTGTTCACTGATTGATGCAATGCAATAAATGTTGCCCAAAGAGAATGCCTAACTCCTGCATTAGTGCTCTGTGGAACACAATGTGTGGCTGTTAGTGCAGTGTCCTGAGGACTCTGGGGTGGGGGCTCCTTGACCAAGTTCAATGATCCAGAGTCAATAATGGAAGGGACAAGAACCGTGTCCAGGAATGCTCTGCTGGTTTGTGGAGGTCCATATGATAAGAGAATCAGGACGCGGCTGTGATCAGGATATGAACAGGGCATATGAGTAATACAATGAGAAAAATATGCACTAGGTTTCTGTTCGGAGGTACAAATACGGAGAGAATGGGGAAAAACCCCATGTAACAATATAGTATGTGAACTTTTTGGCTTATATACAAATAGAAATATCAAAAGATGTCAAGATTAAACACAAAAAGGTCAGGAAGGTGGCACACACAGGTAATCCCAGAACCCTGGGAGGCTGAGGCAGCAGCTCAGGCACCTTAGCAAGACTGTCTCAAAATAAGAAAAATTCTAAAAAAGGACTACGGAACTGGGCATGGTGGCACACACCTGTAATCCCAGCACTTGGGAGGCTGAGGCAGGAGGATTGCTGGGTGTTCGAGACAGGCCTGAGCTACATAGTGTGACACTGTCTCAAATAATTAAATAAATAATTAAATAAATAAATAAATAAGGACTAAAGATGTAGCTCAATGTGAAGGACTTAGATTCTATCTCCAGTAACATACACACACACACACACACACACACACACACACACACACACACATACACAAATACTGAGGAACTCTTCCAGATTGAATATAAAACAGCATGGTAACGAATTTCAAGAATTCTGGCTGGGTATGAGTTCACACACCTGTCAACACAGCACTTGCGAAGCTGAGGAAGAAGGATAATCACGAGTTCAAGGCCAGCCTGAACTACATACTAAGACACCGTTTCAAAGAAAAAAAAAAAAAAATTCTGGGATGACCACAGCTACAAAGGACATCAGTGGGACAAGTGATGACATCTGAAATCTATAAATTCATATGAAAGAAAAACTAATTTCTTGATTTTGTTATCTCATGCATTATACAGGAGTATACTCTTAGGTTCAGAAAACATACTCTTAAGTATATACACTAAGTGTTAGAGCTTACATCTAGATGTCCCCCAAAGCCGCATCCACTGAGGTGGGCTTTCAGAGGATTATATTAAGAGATTAAGATTCATAGCTGACTGGTTATTAGGAAGTGGGATACGGTCAGAGGCCAGGCAGTGGGAAGGTGACCCACCAGGAAGTAAAGTATCTCCCTCCCCCATTCCTCCTTTTGCTCTCAGCTTCTTATCTGCCGCAAGGCATGATTTATGTACTCAGAACAACTTTTTTCTAAAAATGAAATTTCAAAATCCATAGTTTAAAAAAAAAAAAACGATCTTCTCGCCTTTTGGCTAAGATCAAGTGTAAAAAGACAATCTTTAGGGCAGGACATTTAGCTCAGCGGCACTACACCTACCTAGCAAGTACAAGGTCCTGAGTTCAATCTCCAGTACCAAAAAAAACAAAAAGGCAACCTTTGGAACAGAGAACAAATTTCAGCTGGAAAAAAAAAAAAAAAGTACATAATAATGTGTATTAAAGAGCTGGCCCTGGTGGCACATGCCTGTAATCCAAGCACTCAAGAGGCTGTACCAAGAGAATCACTGTGCGTTCAAGGCCATCGTTAGCTCCATAGTGAGTTCAAAGCCAGTCTGAACTACATAATGAGATCATATCTCAAAAAAAAAAAAAAAAATCAAAAATATTATGCTACTCTGTGAGCAAAGAAGAGTGGTGAAAAGTATAAATACATATTCATATGCTACAGCAGCATTTTTTTTCTGACACAGGGCCTCAATATGCAGTTCAGCTGAACTCACTCCATAGCCCAGGCTGGCCTTGAACTCATGGTAATCTTCCTGCCTCAGCATCCGAAGTGGTGGAATTACAGGTGCACACCACCACACGTGGAAAGAGCATATTCTAAAATATTCAGAGTACAGTGGCACCTCACTTAACAAAATTAATTCTTTCCACAATCTTGATTGCAAAAAGAATTGGATGAAAACCAAATCCAATTCAATGTGTAGGTTCAACATGGACCTTATGGTGAAATTTGATTCAGTTCTCACCCAATTTGGTTTTTGACCAGAATTATAGAAATAATTGTTTGTGAACCTAGGCACCATTGTGTGTCTAGAAATAAAAGCAAGGAACTGATCAACACTGGTTTCTTGCAAAGATGGAAAAGAGGCAGTTAGAAAAGAATGAGAAAAAAAAATGAGAAAAAGGGGTTTTACTTTCTGAAATTGTTCAACATTGTACTACATGAATGGTAGCAAGTAAAACCCAGCATGCTTTAATTCAGTGGCTGTCAAACCCAAATGTCATGTCGCTAGTCTTAGAAGCACTCAGGAAATATTTTTTAAAAGGTTACCAAGCCTCACTATTTCATGAGTCCAGGGTAATTCAATAAAAGTAAATATTCCCTGGTTAATTCCACAATTGTTAATTTAACCAAATTACACAAATCTGACCCACTCTAATCCTCAGTAAATTAGCAAATTACAAATACTGAGTCCAGTGAGAATAAAAGCATATTGTGGGAAAATATTTCAAAAGTGAAATCAGAGTATCTGCGCTGGACCCTGAATAAAGGATACCAAATCATGCACTCCACCCGTGTGAATTCCTTATTAGGACCTAAAGGTTCCACGGTAAGGTCACCTGGAGCGCTGCGTAACGCAGGTTCTGTGGCAGGCCGCTCCAGCGTCCCGGAGCTCCAGCCTCCGCTGGGGACCGGGGTCAGGCCCACAGTTGTGGTCCACTTCCACCCTCCGTCGCCGCTGGTGGGCTCCAGGGGCCAGCACGGGGGTTCTCCAGACGACACAGTACAGGGAAGGCCTCCTGGACCCGGGACCCCACCGCCGGGGCCGAGACCCGATTGCCCAAGTCCCAGGAGCCTCCCCGCGAAGGCCTAGGGGTAGTGTGTGCCTGCGGGCTTCCGTCGGCCCGGCTAGGGTCTCGGGCTCTCACTCACCACAGAGCCGCGCAGGCGGAAGTGAGGCCGAAGCAGCAGCGTGCCCCCCGGAAGCTTACCTACAGAGGCGGGGACTTCTACCAGCTGCTGGCTGTGTCCTACAAACAGCTGATGCAGATCTATAACGCTTGGCAGAGGCGGCAGAAGCAGCATAAGTGCCTGTGTAAAGCCAAGGAGGCGCCGTACTCTGCTGGAGAAGCCAGAGGTGAGGACATACCTTCGGGACAGGTTCATCCTGCCCGAGATGGTGGGCATCTCGAGGTCTACGATGGACGCTTCTACCACATGCAGATCAAGCCGGAGAAGATCAGCCACTACTGGAGTGAGTCCTCTATCACAAGCCCGGAAGCGTGGCGGGCCCAGCATTGATCCGGCTCACCCTTCCCGTTTCAGCCCCCTCCTGTAGCCAATAAAGGCACCACACCCACCCGCCACGCACAGACTAGAGTCACCTATTATGCAGTATACTCTACATTCTGCAGAAGGAACATTCTATGTAAAGGTATCACAAGATTATATACTTTTTAGATGATCAGTTGTTACAAGTAGATAAAGTATTACTCAATTTCAAGTGGTGCGTCATCCATCTTAATTTTTTTGTGCTTTTACTCCAACATACGTCAACCATTTTTTCCCATGCATTAGATGTCACAAGAATTGTTTTTTTTAATTAATGAAGGAAACCAAGTGTGGTAGCACACACCTGTAATCTCAGCTACTGGAGAGGCTGACAGCATGAAGATTGCCAACTGAGTCCAATTTAGACTGTCTTGAAATTTAAAAAAAAAGGACTGGGGACATAGCACAGTGCTAAATCACCCCTGTGTTTGATGCCCAGTACAGAAAAATAAATAAATAAATAAATAAATAAATAATAATTCAACGTATCAAAAAAGAATTAGATAATTATTCCTTCCATTTAAAAGGATAACTAAATACAAGGAAACCAATGATTACATGCCAACAGAACATATTTATTATTCATGAGCAGTCAAGACTAACAAGGGCCATTATTATAACCACATATGAAATATCACTTAGCAACATGGAATGAAAAGGACAGTTATATATTTATATTTTAAAAATACACATACACACCCTCGAGTGCTTAACATATACTGCTACAAAAGCAGGAGGCATCAGGCTGCAGAAGTTCTGCTATACATAACATGTTGAACTATCTCAAGCATAAAAACTATACTTAAGTTGCAAAAATAAAGTTTCTTTCTTCAAACATTTGATCTGAGCTCAAGCAAATAATGAACAATGATTTTATTACAATTTCACACTTAAAAATAATCAACATACAATAGTCAACAGCTGCAAAAAAAAAAAAACCCTGAAAACATGAAAGTTGTAGGAGTGAACAATGCATTTCATCCAAAATAAGTTTACAGCAGATGTTTCATCCTGGCTCTCAGATATTTAACAATCTTAACTTTATTTGAACCACAAGCCAGAAAAAAAATGATAAAGAGAAAAATCATTAATGCGAACAAGGCATCAATGCCCTTTAAGTTTCTGCATATAATTTCACTAGTGCAAGAGCATCATTTACCTGAAAAACTGAGTCATAACTGAAGAATACTCATACAAAACTATTTCCTTTTCTTTAAAAAGTGCCACATACCATACTTTTCATTAAAACAAAAAAACCACAAATACACACAAACTAATGAAAAACTGTCTGTCTCCATCTCTTATCAATGAGGAAAGGCCAGAGTGATTCTTTAATTCCAATTCGAAATGGTGTTCGCTGGCCAATGCCCAAGGTCTCCAACTTGGAGCAGTCAAGCTGAGCATTTCTTGGTCGTTGTGCTCCTATGACAGGACTGTCAGTAATCTTTAAAGAAAAATACAAACAAAAAAAAGACAAGTGAACAAAGAGTCATATCTTGAGACTATATCTTTATTTCATTTTGCCCTTAGCGTAAGAAACCTGATTTAAACATCCCTGGGAAATGTCTGCCACCATCAAGACAGTATATTTTCTAAATCTTCAGAATTTATAGACTTCGCTACAGACCAACAGTTTAGAAAGTTTACAACATATTTCACATTGATTAGTGCTGAGAAGGGATGTTATCTAATATATCCAATATCGAAAAAATACTATCAATGATATACACACAAGAACCTGGACTTTCAAGAAGCCAAGTTTCAAATGCCATGAACTTACAGGTCTTAAGTGACTGCTGGGGAGGTTGAAAGCATCTGCGATTGCACACGCCATTTCATACTTAGTCATCTGCTCATTGCCAGACCAGTGGAATGTTCCCTTAATTGATGGATCCTAAGAACAAGGTCACAAAAAATTCAATAGTTTCAAATTTTTGAGTTTAGTGGGAGGATAGGTTTAACAATAAACTAATCCAAAAGGTCAGAAGGTCAGGCGTGGTGGTGCACACCTGTAATCCCAGCACTTGGGAGGCAGAGGCAGGAGAATCACTGTGAACTCCAGACCAACCTGGGCTACATAGTGAGTTCCAAGTCAGTCTCAACTACATAGTGAGACCCTGTCTCAAAAAACCAAATAAATAAATAAATAAATGCATACATACATACCCAATAAAAGGTCAAAGAACTATGAAGCAACTGTCCTATTTTGGAAGACTATCCACAAAATATAAGAAATTCCTAAAAATAGTTCCCAGCCAAACATAAAAAGCAGCAACTAGAATTTAGCCTTACAAAAATGTTTAAAGCAGAAATATAAAAAGATCCATTTGCATTTAATTGGTGGGAATCCTAACAATGATTATAAAGATTTTTATGGAAACAATCCAATGAGTATTTTGAATTATCCTAAGCCAAAAACAAAACTTAATGGAACCATTTTTCAAAATAAACTAAAGGTATAATAAGCAAATTTTTGTGTGCTTGGCAAGCACAAGGTCCTGAGTTTGATTCCCAATACCAAAAAAAAAAAAAAAAATTATGTATTAAGAAACTTATGGGGGGGGCACTAGAGATGTAGCTCAGCAGAACAGTACTTGCCTGGCAAGTGTGAGATCCTGCATTTGATCCCAGGTACCTCCCCAAAAAACAATTTATTAATACTCTAAATCAGTACCTAATCTTACAGATACTCTACTTAGTGCCTACTTGCTGAAATTTTTTGGGGGGGAGGGGGACAGGGGCTTGAACTCGGGTCCTTGCGCTTGCAAGGCAGCCCACCAATGAACTGCTGAGCTAAATCCCCGGCGCATGAAATGTTTAAAATTAACTACTATAGAAATATCTTTTTTAAAAAATCCAAAGGGTGATCAAAATGTACAATTTTTTAATTATAGTAAAAGAGAAATTGCCATTAATCCTTCTCAAAATACTTCCTCCCTTACTATGAACACACTTCACCCATCATTCTTGCCATTTTCTGAAGCAGTGCTTGGAATCCTTTCTTGAGTGTCTTTACCAGGTGCGATCACAAATGCCACCAAGTGCCATCCAATGGAAAGATGGGCTTGTAAAAACATTGTGGTGCTGGGCTGGGGATTTAGCTCAGTGGTGCCACCGCCTCACAAGCACAAGGTCCTGAGTTTGATCCCCAGTACGAAAACAAAAACAAAAACAAAAAAAACACATTATGGTATGTCTTCAATCCACCTTACAAAACGGATCTGGCACAGTGGGACGTCCCAAAATTCAAAATCATCACAAAACATATAAGTTTTGAATTGTTTCAGGACATCAAAGAAGCTGAATTAATATATCGATGAAAGGGGACTTGAGAACTACTTCAGAAAGGGACAATAGCACAGGAATAAGTGTTCAAAACAAGGAGTATTTTAAGGTGAGACCAATAGCAATGCAATTTGTTGAAATAAAACTTTTAAACATTCACCATATTTTATCACGCCTCATATTAATTGTGGCTAAAGTGAAAAATTCCTATATTCTTGTTTGGCACTATGCGTAACTTAATCAGAAAAACAAATCTTAAAGCCAGGCGTGATGGCACACACCTGTAATTCCCAGCACTCTGCAGGCTGAGGCAGAAGGATTGCTGCAAATTCAAGACCACCTGGGCTACACAGTGATTTGTCAGGTCAGTCTCAACTACATAGTGAGACCCTGTCTCAAAAACCAAAAATAAATAGATAAATAAATTAATAAAACTTAAAAGGTATTAGCTGATGCATTTCTTTCCTAGAGAGCACATATAAGGTGTCTTTACCCTGTAATAAAACCTGTAGTATGCAACAAACAAATGCAAACACAAGAGCCTAATTATTTTCATTCTTCATGAATATAGTCTACTCCCTATAAATTTTTAGTCTCCCTCTGAAACACTCCAAGTTTAGATATAAAAATGGGCCTTTACCACAATGGAAATTAAGACCTTCCCTTCCAAAGAGTCTTTCTTACCAGCATCCTCTTCTCTGCCAGCTGTCGACACACACAGGCTACATCTTTGACATGAGTGGGAAACCTCTGCTGCCAGTGGTCCATGTTTGCTGACTTGTTGCTGAACTGCACTTTATCAAACATAACACTTACAGCACTTTCTTCAAGCTTTTCAACCTCCCCATATAGAACAGGAATTCTCAAAACAGCAGCTCCTAGAGATAAACACATGCAGAATTTTAAAGCTGAATGGTTCTTTCATAAGTTTTGGTAGTATACGAAACAGTATCAAAGTACAAACCCTGCCTGTTAATAAAAATATGCCAAAATAACACAGTTCACCTATGGTGCCAAATTAATAAATATGACCTTGACTATTTTTAAAGTATGTTCCATCAACAGGGATACTTTTAGATACAATGCCTACATTAACATAATTGTCAAAAATAAGACATATCATGGCAACTAGATGCAATGGATAATCCTAATAAAAGCAATAAAGAATATGGGGGGACAAATGGAAAAATTCCCATACAGACTATATATTTGATGACAATGCCATGTTAATGTTAAATTTCCTGCATGTGATAACTACACTGTAACATTCTTGAAATATTTTGGGGTTATATTTAAAAGGTTTGGCAAAAGTATACATATAAAACAAACAGGCCAAAACTTAGTGCTGAATATACGTGAGGCATTTGTGTTTACACCCATTGATATTTTATGTGTAACATTACATTTTTGGGGAGGAACTGCTACATGTATGTAGTGTATCTTGATCGCTTTCCATTCTCTCTCCCTCCCTACTTTCTTTTTCCCTCTTCCCCCGTTATGGTTTGGGCCTAGATGTCCCCCCACAGCCTCATGTGGTCACAGGCTTCATGTAGAGTATGTGAAGCTGGAATTGATTAATGATGCAAAGCTAGGCTCAAAGGCACTAGGATTAAGGGTGTCAGTGCTACCAGCCTAAGTAGTCTGAATAAAAGCGGCAGGGAGACGCTGCTAACTCTCTTGTTACTGTTACTCTCCTTACCTTGCTGCCTGTGTGCCACACTGTTTCTGCTCTGCCATGCCTGTTTGTCATCTCTGCCTTGGAGCTGGCCAATTATGTACTGAAACTTCTATGAACTGTAAGCCAAATAAATGCCTTCCCCTTTAACTTTGGGTGTCTGGTAATATAACACATCCCAATTCCCTTTCTCCATTTCCAAAAGGTCTGCCTTTATTTACATTTCAAGTTTTTCATGTATGAAAAACCACGCTATTTAATTTTCTCATTTACATTGTCTTAGAACCAATGATGAAGGAATTTTGAGAATTCAGATTCCATAGTACTTGCTGCTGAGAGGTTATAAGAGTCTTTGGATAACTGGCATTTTGTTTTTTTTTTTTTAATACTGTGAATCAAACTCAGGCCCTTGTGCTTAACCGGCATTGTAAATGCAAGTAAACAAACATTTTCTTTTATAATTAAATTATTAGATAAGGAAACATTAAACTATTACTAGAGTTTAGATACTGTGTCTCTTCCATACTTCCATGCTGGAAAATTAATCACCAGTACAAAAGTACTGGGATGTGCATCTTCTTCAAAAATATTTAGGTTGTAGGGTCCCCACCTTCTTAGATGGATTAGTGGCATATTTATGAAACAGTCTGACCGAGGGAGCTCGTCCTTCTTACTCTCATTTTACTGTCATGTGAGGACCAGCAGCAAAACGGCCCTCGAACACATGCAGGCATCTTGGCCTTTTCCATACAAAAACCACATTTCATGCTTACCTCGAGACAGCATTAAGAGGGCTTCCATTCTTTTTTTTTAAATTTCTTTCAAAAATTGTTATAATTTGTTATAATTTCATTGTTTTAAATTTTTTAAAAATTTTTTTCAGGGTTATATTTATGCACAAATATAGGAAAAATGAAAAACCAAGCATAAGAGAATACCTCAATCTAGCAGAATACTTCAATCTAAGAGAAATTATGCTGCATTTTTTTTGAAAGATTACAAAAATCAGCACTATAGGATTTGTTTTCTATATACAAAGATGCGTATATATACAATGCAGAGGGAAAAAGTTGAGAATCCAGAGTACTTATCCTTTAAGGACCTTAAAAATTACTTTCCTTTTTATCAACTATGTTTTCTAACTTTATTTATATTGCCTTTTTCAATTAAAAACATTTAACTAAAAACCTGCCCTCAAAAACAGAGGCTAAAATGGGTCTTACCTAAATTATTCTCCAGAACAGCCTTTTCTCCTTCCAATTTTGTTTTGCCATACAAATTTAGGGGAGCTGGTATGTCTTCCTCCCTGTAAGGTGGATTTGTTCCATCAAACACATAATCTGAGCTAATGTAGATGAGAAATGCTCCAACTGCAGCTAACAACAACAAAAAAAATCTATTAAATTTTCACATCATTATTATTCTTAGTGGAACTTAGAAAAGTTTGTTCTACATGAACAAATCCCTTCTAAATTATCTACAAAACTTTAGCCTTCAAAATCTCAGTGATTATTTAATATTTTATGAATATTTTATAAAGTCATCATTACCTGCTTCCTTTGCTAAATTCCCAGAAGCATCCACATTAAGCTGAGAAGCAGCATCTGGCTGATTCTCCACAACATCTGGTCTTCTCTCTGCTGCACAATGTACTATGACATGAGGCTGGAAGTTAAACATTGATGTATTTTTAACCCAAAATGGAATAAAACAGAGGAACTACAGCTTTCCTAGAGAAAATGAAGTCAGAAAAAAATGTTTCTTAAATCAGCATTCCTTCAACTAAGAATACTCCCCACACGGAGTATGAAGGAATGAACCAAAAGCCTTGTGTGCAGCAACATCCCCAGCTCTTTTTATTTAGGGTGTTTGTTGCCAAATTGCCTGGACTGGCCTTGAACTTGCAATTCTGCCTCAGCTTTGCACGTAGCTGGGACTTCAGGCAGGAACCACTGTGCACAGCAGTGATTTTTAGTATAGTTCTGTCACACTTGCTTTCCCCATCAAGATTCAAAGTTCTTGGAAATACATATATGTAAGTCTTGAAAATGAAAGAGCAATTTAGTAATTCCTAAACAAAATCGGGGGCTGGGGGACTATTTCAGTTCAAAAGAAGTTTCACTTCCCAATCTGGAAAGAAGAGAGTTGCCATATTGTAATTAATATGAAAGATCATGGTGGTACACATCTGTAATCCCAGCACTCTGGGCAGCTGATGATGCAGGACTACAAGTTCACGCCCAGACTGGGCAATTGATGAGATCCTGTTGCAAAATTTTAAAAATAAAAAGTTGTGGGGCCAGGTACTTAACGCAAGCCCAAGGACCTGAGTTCCATTTCTGATACCACACAAAAAAAAAAAAATAATAAAAATAAAAA